CTATGCGAGTTGTGGCCTGCGCGGCGCCGTGGGACGGCGGGGCGCGGGCTGTGACCGCCGGCATCGCGTACGGAGCGGCCCCGGCAGCCGCCAGCGCGTAGGTCAGCTCCTGCGAGAGTCGAAGCTCAGAGTCAGCAAGGCTTCCCATCCGCATCCCCCGGCATGCTCCGCTGCGCACCTGTGCCTTGTGATGCTCACAGCAGCCGGCCGTGCCCTGCGGGCTGTTGTTTCTCTAGCTAAGGAATGACCGATTTCCCCTCTGTGTCGTTAGGTTGACACCAGCCGAATCGTCCACATCCATTCTGTGATAATCCTGCGCCGCTCTGACAAGAGGAAAGACCGTGTGGAGATCTCACCAGAGCAGCTTTCAGCTGCTTCCACTGAAGCAGAGATATCCTTCAGCAGAGACAGCAGCAGGCTCGCCAGTGAAGTGCTTTACCTCAGAGCTCTTCTCCTGGGCTGTGATTTGGGCCTGTAGTGTTGGCTTGAAGCCGTCAGCTGCTCCCTCCTGCAGCCGCTCAGCTGGGAGGGCTGTGCTGGCAGTTCCCTTTCCCCGGAGTCATTGTTAGTTCCAGTGCTTCCAGTGGAGTTGTGTTATCAATTTTTAATCATTGTTTTGCATTTGGTCACAGGTAGAACTGCAGTGTGTTTGTGGAGGGGGGTGGCAGTTCAGCAAGGGAGGCTGAGTGGAAGGTGAAAGGTCAGCAAGGCTCCAGGTGCTGCACTGGGGAGCCTCTTCTCTACACACACTCGGGGATGCTGGTTTGGACAGCTGCTGAAATGTTGTTTGTTGCCTCATACAAACAAAATCCAATTTGCTTCTGCAGCAGTGGCTCCTGATGTTGCTGGGGAAGAGGCTTCTATCAGCTCCCTGCACTGTTTCTTATCACTCTTCCAGAGAGACCTGGAATTTTGTTGACTCATAGGAAACTATTTTAAAACTGCTGTTTTCCCTTGCACATACAGCCCTTCCCTTTGTCTGTTGGTTCCAAAAGCTCCTTGACTCCCACACAGGTTGGCTGAGATGACAGGACGTCCCATGAGGGTGGTGGGCTGGTACCACTCCCACCCCCACATCACTGTGTGGCCGTCACACGTCGGTAAGAGCAGCCCTGGGCTGGGCTCTGGGGGAAACTCCCAGCTGCTGATCCCAGGACTCAGTCACTGCAGCTCCAGAGCTGCACATTCCAGCAGTTCTGAGTCTGAAACAATCCCAGATTGTCTGGGTGCCTGCCAGTGTAGCCCCATTCCTGTGTGTGCTCTCCAAGGACTCACACATGACCCAGGAGTCACAGATCAGCTCCTGCTCTTACTGCTGTTCTTCCAGATCAGACCTTGGGTGTGGGGAATAGCAAAAAAAGCTGTGGGGATCCCAGGCCTGCCATGATGATTTCTGACATCTGTGAGTGTTAATACATAGCTGAAAACTTTCGTAAAAGGAGTACATGATTACCATTTATGTGTTGGTAAAACACATGGTGGCCTGTGGAGCCAGGCTGTCTATGAGATGATTTCTTGGTTTTGTGAGCTCATCTTCTATTTTTAAGATTTGCTATTTAATTACATTTTAAATGGGATCAAATTTTTTGTTTAAACTTAAGTCACCCAGAGTGAGGATGTAAACATAAAGTTTGTGACATTTGTTACCAAATTCCAGATCACCCTTCAGAAGGTGGCAAATCATTTCCCAGTCCTGCAGGTGAGCAGGGCAGCTCTCACTCTCATTCTGTCCCTGCAGATGTCCGCACACAGGCCATGTATCAGATGATGGACCAAGGATTCGTAGGGCTGATCTTCTCCTGCTTCATTGAGGACAAGAACACCAAGGTAGGCAACTTAAAAATGGCAACAAACCCTCCAGGGGCTCATGAGAAACATCAGGGCAGAGCTGAAGTCCTTGAGTGCAGCCTGCAGAGAGGGCAGAGCTGCACTGGGAGCACATGGGAAGCACAGCAGGAATGGTTTGGATTGTGATCCCACGGGCAAGAGAACAAGTGATGTTTGCTCTGTGCTGCCCCACAGTGTGGCTGCCCAGCAGGGCTGCAGCAGCTGCAGAGTGTGCTCTGAAGTGGGCCAGGGCTTTTCCCTCAGGTGTCCAGCCCAGAACACACAGCTCTGCCCCTCTTCCAGCCTCTCCAGGAGGTGTGGCTGTCATGTGAGATAAGCTGCCAGTCAGGTCTAGGCTGTCCAGGCAGCTGCTGTTTAAGAGTTTTTTCATCATTAAAGGGTTTACCAATGTGTGCTTTAAGCACCTCCAGCAAGTAAATCACAGCAAAACATCTGGAATTCTGTTGAAAGCTTCCTAAAGAAATGTGTGGGTTTAGATGTTTTTGCCTTTGGAATCTGATTTTCTGCTGTCTCTTTTAGACAGGCAGAATTCTCTATACCTGTTTCCAGTCTGTTCAGGCCCAGAAGAGCTCAGAGTGAGTACAGCAGAAGAATATTATGTCTGACTGTATTTTGTCTTGTCTCCTTTCTCTGGGTTCTCTCTAATAAAGCAGCTTCTCGGCCTGTTGTGAGGAGCAGATGTACAGATGTCTGCACAGGGTCTCCTGCTCATGCAGGCTGCTGGAAGAGAATCTAAAGTTTAGGAGTGATTCATTTAGCCTAGATAATCTATTCTCTTAAGATTTACTGAGGTCAGAGTGGGGATTTGTGCTGCAGTTCATTGTGTAGCAGCACCACCTTTCTGCTTCCAGCTCTAGAGGTCAAGCCATCAGGTTTGCACCTTACAATTAAAATTCAGGACAAGTATGTGGATATGAAATGTTTCCCTTTGCCTGTTAGCTCAGGCATGTATTCCCAAAAGTGGATGTGCAGCACTGTAGGCCTTGGGCAGACTATTGAAAGGTTGTAGAAGTAATTTTTTTGTTTGCTGCTTTTAATTATATCTCGTACCCTTCTAGATATGAAAGGATTGAAATTCCCATTCATGTTGTGCCCCATGAAACCATTGGGAAAGTGTGTCTGGAATCAGCTGTGGAGCTGCCCAAGATCCTTTGCCAAGAAGAGCAGGATGCCTACAGGAGAATTCACAGGTAACAGCCCTGAGGGCTCTGCCCCTCTCCAAGGCTGTCTTTGCTGACATGTTCTGCTGTTGCTGTATTTAGACTACCAAAGCCTTAGCAAAGCTGTAGGAATTGAGAAGGATTAGCAGCTCCTCTGCCTCTGTAGAACTTACTGAAGTTTGTAGAACTGAACCTGGGGTTAGGAACAGAATTCTGGGGTTTTGCAATCATGGGTTGTTATTCCTATGGATGTTCAGGGCTTCAGCAGGTGAAGAGGTTTAGGCATACCTGTGGTCTGGTCAGTGGTTCGTGGGCAGGTGGTTTTACAGCCTGAGTTTAATACACAATTCCTGGCTGTCTTGTCTCTAACCTGCTTTCTTCTCCTTCCCTTAGCCTCACCCATCTTGACTCTGTAACCAAAATCCATAATGGCTCAGGTAAGGATTCCTTTCATGCACTTGACAGTCCAGGGTGGTGCTCCCAGAATCAAAACGGTGGTATCTTGGTACACAGGAACAGAATTATAACTAGGAACTTAAAATAAAAACTACAGAGGCTGTAAAACACCCTAATCCTGGGGTTCATGAATGTTTTATCCTTCAGGCTTTGTAGAATTGGTTGAAATTGCCAAAGACTTTGGGGTTGTTTGGGGTTTTGGGGCTTGGTTTGTTTAGTTGTGGTTTTTTTTCTGTTTTTTCCTGGAACAGGAAAGGGGATTTGTGATTTGTTGAGTATTGTAGTGCCTGGCTGACCTGTATGCACACTTCCACTTCCTGGCACTTTGTAGGTGTTAAATGGGTGTGACATCTTTCCTTTTGCCACTTCCTTTTTGTGAACCTCATCCCACTTCTATTCCAAGTTCTTTACCCCACTGTCCATTCTCACACATTCAGCAAGTGAGGTATTCCGTGATGCTTCAAAATTTAGAAATGAATTAGCATCAGTGATTAGCTGTGTGCAGATTTTCATGGCAGGTCTGTCATCCCTGCTTGGGTCACACTGAAATGGTGTTTCCCTGTTACAAGCTGCTGGTTCTGACCTTCTGTGCAGATCTGTGGTTGCCATGGCCAGGATGCTGGAGGTCTCCTTGACTGTCTGTTGGCTTTGGGGGTGTTGTAACACATTGAGTCTTTTGTGTGTTGCCCTGGCATGATGTGTTTGCTCTTTGCAGTGTTTACAAAGAACCTCTGCAGCCAAATGTCTGCCATCAGTGGGCCCCTGCTGCAGTGGCTCGAGGACAGACTGGAGCAGAACAAACAGCGTGTGCAGGAGCTGCAGCAGGAGAAAGAACAGCTGCTGGAGGAACTTGCTGCTTTAGAGTGAGGACGAAATGCAGACCCTTCAGGAAAGTGACATGAAAAAATCTTTAAGAACTACTCCAGGCTGAAGGGTGGCCTTACATTGCCTCAGTGAAGGTACTGGCTGTACCTTGCAACAAAGAGCAAAGAGCACAGCTCCAGGATCAGGACTTTTAACTGCCCCAGCCTGGTGCAAAGGAGTGCTGTGTCTGCCATTGCTGCACTTCTGGCTCAGGGGTGGGGCTGGGCAGCACCTCAAGACTCCTATTTTGGAGAGCACACACCTAGGGAACCTCTTGTTTCTCCCTCTGCATTTTGACAGCAGTCCTACTGCTTTACATGTATTCCAGGAGCCTGGAACAGGAGGGTTAGAGGGGAAAAGTGTGTCCCTGCTGTCATATCCAATGCTGCCATCTTCTGCTTTCTCTTAGTAGCTTCAGTTGACCATGATGTTATACCTAGTAATGTTCAGGATCACTGCTCATTCACCCAAGCAGGTAGAAGGGGGGAGGGAAGCTTGGGAACAGACCTGGAAGATCTTTGACATCTGTGTTCAGCATATGTCAAACCAATAAAGACCCCCAAAGCTAGAGCTTTTGGGAGTAGAAATGAAATGAATGCTACAAACTGCCAGTGCCTGCACTTTTTGGTTGGTGTGTATTCTCTTACTCCTTGTAATGCTGGTGTGTGCCCAGCATTTTTCTCTAGAGAATGAACTGTTTCTGCTGGCTCAGTGAAAGGACTGTGGTTCCTTCCCAGAGAGAAGGAAGTTAAGATTCTGGGCAGAGAACACGTAGATATACGAGTCTGACATTCTTCCATGCTGAACCTAACTGCAGAAATTTCTCAAGAACGGAACAAAATAGCTGTTTTGAAATAATCACTTTAAATGTTCTTGCTGTTGCATTTCACAGTATCCTCCATCGTATACATCTTCATCTGTGTTCTGTCTTGTGAATGTGTCTCGTGAGCAAAGGATGGGACAATTACAATGACAGAGCTGAAGAAGAGGCACTCTGCCAGTGACAGCCAGTGTTGATTAGCAGCTGTGGAAGCCCCATAACCCCATTGCTTTGTCAGACTTTTCAATCTTTCTATATTTCTACTGGCAAATCCCCTAAGAGTAGAACTTCCTTGAAGTAGATTGCTCACTACTGTTTTCTTTTTTCTCAGAAGTGCTGTGAATAGTAATGAATCAGTTTTTGAAGGTCAGTGGTTTTGTGCTGTTGTTTTTGCTATTGATTTCTAGTTGCAATGCTCCTTATCTTCATCGCTGCTGGGGAACAGAGGGTGGTGCCTCAGTGCCCCCAGGCTTGATTGAGGGTTCCTGGGAGATGATCCAGCAGCCCTGGGCCTCCTGGAATGGGGATCCTTGGAGTAATCCCAGTGACCACAGGATGTTAATGACTGTGCTGATCCATGTCCAGGAAGCTGGGCTGGTACCAGGGTTCTGTATTCCTACACAGCCGTGATTAAATTGAAACAATGCAGCCTGGTTCACTGCAGGAGTTCATATCAAACTGGCATTTATTGATTATCAAAATTTTTAAGAACCTGAGCAATTTGCTCACAGAAGACACTACAAAACACATTCACTTGCATTTTACATAAAAGACTTAAGTCATGACAAGACCTCATCATTCTATGGGGAAGGTGTTTGAATCTGCTTTCCCCAGCCTGATCTGCATCTATTTTAATTTCTGTGAAATGTCAGTGACAGAGGTTCATGACTACATTCAGATGTATCAAAGAGCTTTACTGTTACTGAGGTCTAAAGGGCTTTGGAGAAATTCACAGATTCTGTTAATAGATTTAAAGCACCATCTGTCTACCACTTAATTTAAACAGAAACAGCCAAGGCTAGCTCAGGAAACTCTATCTGGGACAAATCTGAACCCATATTGAAGCCCAGCTCAGGTATGCCCCTTTTCCTGCCTTGGAGTCATTCAGAGTCAGAGGACTTGGGCTGGGCTGGACTTTTCTTGCCTCTGGCAATCCCAGCCAGATGCACACACAACAGCTCTTCAGCACACACACAGAGTCTACAGCGTATCAGCTGCCCAGATGAAACAGTAAATCCCTTACTGGAGTCACTGAAGACATGCTATGTGTAAGTGCTGCTCAGAACTTCTACTACTCTCTATAAAAAATTTAAGTGGCACCACAAAAGGAGGTGTATTGAGATGTTAAAAGGAATCCTCCAGCTTGGTTTTCAAAGCAAAATCAGCGCTGAGTTTCCTCATCACCTCTGCATGACTCAGCCCATGCTGCTCTCTCTTAGCAAGTCCATAGTTGTCCTTCACATACTTAGCAAAGGGTGTGAGCTGTGTCCTGGCAGGGGTGCCCCCCTTGCCCGGGGGCTGCCTGAGGGTCAGCTGCCCCCCGCAGAAGGCGCACACGAACCGCGCCGTGTCCAGGGACCGCGAGTGCCGCCCGATCCTGAAAGGCAAAAACGAGGACTTGGATTCCACAGGACTCGTGGGAAAGGGCCCCTTTCTCTGCTGCTCAGGTCAGATTTATAAGGCAGTGTTTTAGAACAGGGAACAGTACATCACAAAGTGGTACAATCAAATCTGTGTTACACTTTTCTACCCTGGAACTTCTACTGCTTCTTCAGGCTTGGTTCCTTCCTCTGCCTCTTCTACTCTCAGCCTATGAGTATAAAGTGCTACAACACTTCCAAATACCTCCACAACCCATGTATCAACTATCAACTGCCTGGTGGAGTTTCTCCTCAAAGACATCACTAAAAAAAAAAAATTCTCAATGCTCTGTTACATCTAAGCAATTACTGCATTGCATAATCCTGATAAATACTTCAGGGTATGTGAGGTGTTTCCTTCACAGTACTTCTGGGAGTCACACCAGATCCTGATGTAAAAAAAAAAAGCCATAAATGGTGTCATTATTATAGGTTGTGTCCTAGTGTCAATCCTTCCCATCACAGTGCTGCTCACATCTGTGAAGCTGCTGTTATAATTTAAAGTCATCAGGACTTTAAACTGGAAGCTTCCTCTGGTAGTTTTATCTAGTATCTAATCACTGCCAAATATTCTGTGCCCAGTTTTTATGGGGATTTGTTGCTTCAAACCTTAGGTACGTATCTCTTACTGCTTCCTAAAGACTTTCTCTCATCGCCAATGGTCCTCAGATGACATTTCTGCCGGTCCTGACCTCTGAACTAGAATTTAAACTACCTGGAAACAAATGTGGAATCACATACTGAGGTTCTCTGATATCAAAATGTCCAAATTGCTTTACAATTTCAGAGAACCCTGATTCCTAGACACAGGAGACTGACAAGTTAATACACAGCAAGATGAAAACACTACTCACGTAGCTTTGCACCGAACACACTCGTAGGTGAATTTGTAATTAATCTCATAGCTGTGGCACCGTGTCACCATTGGCAGTTCTGGATGAAGTACAGCTGATTTATTGGCATAGAACCTCCAGAACCGCCCGTGTCCGTCCCGAACGCCGTTGATGAGCCAGGTGGCTGCGTGGCAAACCTCATGGATCAGCGTGTCCCGAAGGCGATCTTGAGGTAAAGCAAATAAAGATCAGTCAGGTGTGGGAAAAACAAACTCACCTTTGGTCACTGCTTTAGGCCTCTGACACTCATTCTTGTATTAAAATGCAAGTATTATTTTGAAGGTTAGAACTACCAATGTCTTGATGAGATAAAATGCTCCAAAACAAGATCTCAGTGCATTTCCAGTTTTGTGATCAGCCCCAATTCTGCATCCTAGTTACCCCCAACACACACCTAATATATTTAGGCCTTTTTGTTTGGTTGGTAAAGCTGCTCCATCCCTGGAAGTATTTAAGGCCAGGTTGGGCAGAACTTGGAGAAATCTGTTCTAATGGAAGGTGTCCCTGCCCATGGCAGGGAGTTGGTACAAGATGGTTTTTAAGATCCCTTTCAACCCAAACCATTTTATGATTCATCTTCCCATATTGAGAGGGGATGAGGGAGAAATAACAGTCAAGTACCACATAATAGAACTTAATTTGGCACTGACCTGTCTTTATTCCAGCTTTAAATACTATCAACAAGGTGTGTTGCTGTGATGGACGAAGTCAGATTTTAGACTGCCATTGTAACACAGAATTAGAGTAACACCATGCCTGTAGGTCTTCAAATCATTAAGAAATATAAACAGTACTGCAGTTAGTGTGACTACATCTATGTTCTCACATTTTGTACATTTGCCTAGCCTCTTAGAAGAGCTGTGGAATAAATCCATACAGGTATTTATTTATTTATACAAGATAATATAAAATTAGATAATATTATTTAACTACATTTCAAAGCAGGCTCCAGATCTCTTAAGCATCACATTTATGTTTTCATCTCTAAAACTTGCTTCCTCAAAGAAGAATCAACACACCCTTTTCTTTGACCTACCTGCAGAGTCACAGACTTTCTCAGAGAGCTCAATGCGAGCGTAACGCTTCCCTTCAGGGCCTTCCCTCTGCCCCGTTACACAATACCCTGCTGTTTTTCTCATTTTCTTATTCCAGATTATTACCATATCTTCTGGTAACTGAAAAACAAAACAGTGCATGTAATCTGCCCTCTCCTACCTCTTAACAAGTCTTAGTAGATACCAACTCCCCTCCACGGCTTCTAACTCCCACCATCAGTTTTCCTGTAACCAACAATGGGGGTTTCACAAGGCAGAGTGAGACACAAGTCCTTAGTTCCTCTATTCTACCTCCAAATACCTCCAGATACAGGGCTGAAGCACTGGGCAGTAAAATATTCTGCTTCAGCAATAGTGAGTCTGTTCAACTCAATTTTATGTGAAATCATGTCCTGAGGCTGTCAGCTGAACATTATTTTCTTATCTGCATACAAACCACTTTCCTTCCTGGGGGAAATCCCACTGGAATTATTGAGGGCAGCACCCTTCCTTTCAAGGATATTTCTCACCAGAGGAGGGTCCCCAATATCCCAGATGATGATCCCAGGTGAAGACAGCACTGAAATTGAACCTTAAATTTGAAACACAACTTGTAGCCTTATGTTCACCCTAAACTGTTATTTGAAGGATCACCTTTTTAATCTGTTCCAGAAAGGCAGACATGAACATCTCATAGGAAGGAACAAAGATTATGTGCAGCATTTCCATTACAGCTGGAAAGCAAAGCCAAGCTAAAAACTGCTGCACCACAGTGGTGACAAACCCCTTTTGAAGAAATTGCTTGGACTAATTCAAACATAGCCCACTGCTATAAAGCTTAACTTCTACAATCTGAGGAGGATGAAAAGCAATCACATCAAAACATGAGAAGCCACATATAAACCAGTATTTTGGAATGGTAGTTCTTGTTTTGAAACCAACCTTTTGCTCAAAGATGGTACTATTAAACAGCTTGTAGAGCTTCTGGGCCAGCTCCTCTTTATTTTTCTTGAAATACTTCACATAGTGGGAAGCTGGATTTGAAAGATCTTGCAAAAAACAACCAGGCACTGAGCATACCCTGAGTCTGCAAGAAAAGCCATTAAACAGTTTGCTGAAATACAGAGATTTGGAAAAATACAGGGAAAAATGGCCACTTGAAAGCCAATAAAGATCTCAGGGATGCTTCAAATGGCATAAACCTCTCCT